TAGAGTGATAGGGAGACATCTACAGGTATAAGTTTTTTGAGTCTCCTAAGGGCACCAATCTTGGCATAGACCTTTTTTATGACACTCTGAATGTGATCAGCAAATGTTAACTTGTCGTCAATTGTGACCCCAAGGATTTTGAGTGAGTTAGATAACTCGACTCTAGAGTCACCAATGATAAATTGAGGGTCGTAAGCAATATCTCCGATCATCATAGCTTGGGACTTTATGTTGTTGACCATAATTAATCATTATAATGATTATACTGAAATGTCATTGTTACCTTTAAACTGTATTACTTTCTTTGTTTTCTGTTGGACAGCAATATGTCTAGTGCTGTGTGTATTGTACCAAGCATTTTAATTTTTATGGGAACAAAGCTCGCTGAAAGATCTGTATCAGAAGTTTGTGTTGAATGCAATTATTCTAGTTCCAGTTACAGGAAAATTAGTTTCAAGTTTCGGTGCTTAATCGCTTCCTTCAGCCCTCCCCTTGATCCTTTCCTGCATAGTATGACCTCTGAGCGTGCATAGCAATAAACAGAGATCTGAAGTTCATACATCAGCTGTTACTTATGGACCTCATCCACAAAACACGATCTTCAATTTTTGGAAACTTAGGGCCTATCCGCAGTAGCGAGAAAATGTTTATTTAGACAAATTTTCTGTCATCACCAACACTTTACAAGTGCGGATGGTTTGTCGCGACTTGACAAATTTTGTTCGAAGCGGACACATTTTTAAACGTGCCGCCGACAAAATTTGTCCCGGGTAATTACCAAGCTGAGCTAAATTAGATCAAAGGCTCCTTAGAGCAACCCCATGGTATGAATTTTTGGCGCCCTTGACGTATCCTGCGATCTGGCTTTCTCTGGAAAGTATTTTTGATCGTGAGCAACACGTGCTGGCACAATTATTAGGGAGCTTTAGCAACGAGAGCGGCAACGGCAACGAGAACGGCAGAAAACAACAGGCTTAATGAGCAAAAACAATCGCCCTGCACGTGCTTTAACATTTCGGTACATTTCTTTGCCGTTCTCGGCAAAACAACAACGTGAAATAACCAAATTTTAGGTTTTCTCGAGAACGTGAGCGGATGACGGTTAATTTTTCTTTCTTTTTCCTTACTTTAACGCCGTTCGTATTGATATAGTCTCAGAATTAGTGAATTCAAGAATTAATTAATTAAAGAATTAGTGAATTAGTGAACTCAAGAATTAGTGAAGTTTCTTTCGAAACTATCAGCCTTTAGTCTCTGAATAGTTCGCCAGCATTTTCCCAGTGAAACACATCGGAATAATCTCGAAAGAGTTACAAAAACGAAAAGTTAGATTTCAACACGACGTTTTCGTTGCCGTTGCCGTCGTCGTTGCTAAAGCTCCCTAATGTGTTTGTAAGCGTTTTGATGAAGACAAATTGTCTTAAATTACGAATGTGTGAAGAATTAGTGAAGATACCGGCACTGCTAGTGTTCAACCACTACGGTATCAGCTCCTTTATTCACATTCTTAATAGACGGCTAGGACTGAATCTGTCCTAAAGAGGAATGAGCCTAAATCCAATTGAACATCCGTATGTCCCCAATGTAGCGAAGAACAAACTTAAAGAGTGACAGGGCTGAGCAACGATTTTGAACAAATTAAGTCGTGCCTAAATCGAAGTCCATTACACAGAAATCGTTCCATACAAAGAAAACTAATTAAGATCTGAATGATTTTCATACAGGATTTCTTCTCCTTGTTCAAGTTAATTCATCAATCTCAGTATAAACACATAACAAAAGCTGGTGCCTGCATTTTCGAGGATAAATGTATGGTTCACGGAGAAACTTGAAGGCCTAGCATAGTGGGACAAAAAGCCGCTGAAAATACTCAACGATTACTTTTCAGCCATTTGATCTGCTTCAGTATCGCATTGTTCAGTGATGCGTTTCGCAAGGCACGAAATTGCCTGTGGAGTTAATCCATCATTTAAATTCAAAAGTTGTACTGTACTCACCAGTTACAGCCATCAGAACAAGAACAGTCAGAGTGAACAGCAAACGATTCATTTTTGAAGCTCCTATCTTGGTTCGAAGTTTAACTTTTCGTGTCATACAGAAAATAATGATGTAGTGCCACGCCAAATTTATGCACACTATGGTCTCATGGGACGAAAGTAAAACAAGGATCGGATGTCCGAAAACGAAAACGAAAAGGAAGACGGGGTCTTAGGTCTTTGGTCTTCGTTTTCGTAACACCCGGTGAAATATAGTTTTTTCCTTTCGTGACTGGATGTCTGCAAGAATTCTGAACATAATGTTGTTTTCACTCACTGATATCAGGCCGATATACAATTACATACCAAATTTATGGTCTCAAAGGACGTAAATAAAACATGGTCGGATGTCCGAAAACGAAAACACCTTGTAGTTTGGAAAACACCTGATAGTTTGGAAAACACCTGGTAGTTTGGAAAACACCCGGTAGTTTGGAATACATGGAATGCCGGAATTCTCTGCCGGAATACCCGGAATACCCGGAATTCCCGGAATGACCAAAAAATAATAAATTGAAAAAAATATTATCTTATAATTAAAAATGATAAGTTTGAATAAATAATTAAAAAAATTATTAATTAAAAGAGTAAAAATGAAGTGCAAACAGAAATTAAAAAGAAAAAAAAATCAGTTCTCTAGAAGTAAAACCAAAAAAATGCAAAATTTTCTCTCAATAAAATGCAGAGACCACGTGACGTAAAAAATAACTACCTATGGCACTGTTCACGGAGATGCACATACTAGAACTACATGTAGCTTACAGCCTACAATATACAAACTGATGCCGAAGATTGCTTCAAGGTAAATAAACCAGAAGTGTGATTTATTATTGACAAACCTAAAGCACTGTGGGTTCTAAGTGGAAAAGGAGATGTAAATACGATAAGTACTAGGCGAGGAAACCTAAAGTGCGACCGCACTTAAAATCTGTCAGCACAAGCATTTTCTAATGCCACCCAATTTTTGCGATTTTTTATAGATTGCGATAAAAGTAATTTATTGACTGCAATGATTGAGATGAGATGTTTTGATAGATTGAGACATTAACATTTGTTTTTTTTTTTCCATTTAACTTCAGTTTAAAGTTGATTTCTTTTTAGTGGCTCATTAGATGGTCTCCACGAATATAAATTTATAGCAAGGCGTGACAATGTCGTTAATTCATTGTATGTCTTGGTCAAATCCCGGATGTCAAATCCATACGAACGCGTCTTAAACATTTCATGAACCTACCAGATATTTCTGATCTACTTGACTTCGAGTTCTTTCTGTAACGTGCATGAATGGGCTTAATGGTCATTGCGCCCTAGACATCCTACAGGTGTGTAAACGTGTGGAGGCGAATTTAAAACGGAGAGTAACCATGTGATGGACTAACATCCCATCCAGGGGGAAGGGAGAGTACAAATATTTCGTCGCTTAGGCTGTATGGGCTACTGGCCTGACGCAGACTTTTTTTTAATTCTAATACGTGTATCTCCATGAACAGT